TTTGTAAAGAAGCCCAAGAATCAGATGAACATTTGAAGCAATTTAACTTTCTTAAATACATTTTCTGCAAAATCACAGCATTGGTTTTCCAACTGCAAAAAGTTACACATTGAGACCAAATCCACTTGGTTGCGGTTCTTTAATTTCTTATATCACTGTATCGAACTTTCTTCAACTGTTGTCCGACAAAAGCAAACCAGAAATTCAGTGTTTCCCTCAGCACCCTTTAGAGGAGACTCAATCCAGCCCTTGGACTGGAATCCGAAGTCCTTTACACCCTTTATGATCTTCTCAAGCACCTACATGATGAAACACAGTATAAATACTAGATTAACTACATATTTGTTTGCTTCACTGAAAATATTTCTTAAAAAGCAAATAGGTTTTTTCTCTTGGCCACAATAAGTATCTAGGTTTAAGATCCAGAAAAGTGAGCTAAATTATACCCATTGGGATAAAAAATAAAATGGAATAAAAGGAAAAAAGAAAGCATACCTCTTGATGGACTTGTGGATCTCTGACTATCCCACCTTTCCCTACCTGTAAAGAAAGTAAATTTTGGTTTCAAAAATTTGAGGTTAACCAAATGGAAATCCCAAATCCCAAGAGACAAGCTGTTGATATTAATTTCAAGGTGATGTCTTTACCCTCTGCTATAAAACAAATAATCTACCTATACATCCACAAAAACAAAATTATGCACAAGAAAAAGAGAAATCAGTAAATATATAATTAGACAGAAAAATACATATTGATATTCAGAGAGATGTTCTACATCTCTATATTATTTTGAACACACATTCCAAATCTAACTAAACTACCCAGACAACATAGAAATGCAAGTACTGGGAATAAAGTAAACAAAATACCTAAAATGTGAAACAAAAAAACAGACAGGAACATACTTAAGTTTCTTACCTGTGATCTGTGAGCTTCAAATTGAGGTTTAACCAGGGTCACTAATGTTGCATCTTCTTTCATCACTTTCACTACAGCAGGCATGACCTGCATAAGGAGATTGAGATTAATATGATAACCTGGGTCGAGTGACCCAAAAAAGAAAGTTAAATAAATGTATATAACATCCACGGGCAGAAAGGTTGATAAGTCTACACTAGTATGAGTAGAACTACAGAGCTACTTGGTCATAGACTTACAGATGATTGTCTATCATAACTCATCCAATTCTTTCACTTTTTTTACCAGTAAATATATAAAAAATAAAATAAAATAAAAGAGCTGAAAAGCATAGTGCAGGCCACAAGCATACAATTGGAGTATCACTTTCAGCAAAGAGGCCTTTAAAAATCTTATATAAGCCTCAAAGTCAAGAAAAGGAGGAAAAACAGAAACTGAATGGGAGGGATAAAGAATCGTGAATAAATGGTGGCTAGAAAGCAACCAGACAGGGTCATAAAGCATGGAAACAAAACATTAGAAATGTTTGAAAACTTACCAAGAGAATAGAAATAAATGAGAGATCCAATGTCACTAAATCAACTTTTTGGGGAAGCCCAGGTAGGTATCTTAAATTTGTCCTTTCTATCACACAAACACGTTCGTCTCTACGGATTTTGTCAGCCACCTGTTCAAATTGACATGCATAAGCAAGCAGCCATGAGCATACAAAAAATGCAAAAGTGTACAGCAAACACCAACTTTGTTTTTGGAAGATCATCTGAGACAAACAACTACTATGAACAGACAGAATTGAAACTACTAGCATACCGAACAAAAATACTTATTTGAACCAAAAATTAATTAAGAATTATAAATTTACATTGTTAGATAATGTGCTGTGTGAATAAGGTCTGTGCGAAGCACTGACAAACAAAGCCTGAATTATTCAAATATGAAAATAATAATAGCTATGATCAATGTGAAACTCCACCAGACTCTGGTTACCAAAGGAAAGAAATATCCCTACATACATCCTTCCACGTAATCATTAAAAATTAACAAAATAATCATGCAGGGATGATGTTAATTTCAATATCTCCAAGGCAAGGTGAGATTAAAAAAGACAAAGATTGTTTGTACCTGTCCATAACCTACATCAACTCCATAAACCAATGATGCACCATATTGAAGCAGGCAATCAGTAAATCCTCCAGTGGACAACCCTGAATCAAGAGCTACTTTGCCTGCAACATCAACACCAAGTTGTTCAATAGCAGCTTCTAACTTGTATCCTGCTCTGAAATCAGAAAACAAAGAGAATACTTAAATCAACACTGAATTATCTCAAAAATATCATTGCAGAAATGTGCAAGATGGGTCCTTTCATGGAATAATCACCTACATACATATTTTGGAACTTCAGCGATAATTTCCACAACAGCCCTCTCAGAGACAGGAGTTCCAGCTTTATTGACCACCTTTCCATCCACATAAACTTTGCCTGCAAAACAGACACATCATGCGGTGTCAAAAGGTAATCAAACAACTTAAACATTCCCTTATCCATGTAACTGGTCTGCATTACATTGGTGAGACTAAATCTGAAACTAAAACTGCAATTTTTGGACACAACACATCTTTTTAATGAAACAAGATGAATGGCCAATGAAATGTAAATCAAATTTAGTTGTTTAAATTCTAATTCTTCTTAATACAAAGCTGTTACAGATCTTAAAATTCATTCAAAATTTTAAGATGTGGATCCAAAAAAAGAAAAAGTTTGAATTTCAAGACAATGGCTGCCATTTCTTTAAATGGATAAACAAATCCACTTTTGAGCATATCATAACTCACAACATCAACAAGGGCCAATTTTCTTTATGTAATTTATATCTCAAGAGCTGGAATGTGGAAATGCTCCCAGTGAACCAAAATATATGTTTGCATAAAAATAAAATTGAACAATACAGCTTACCTTGTAAGATCCATGACTGTATCAAGGTTCGACTATGTTGTTGAAACCTTTCAAGACATATCTCATCCAGCCTTCTTTTCCTGAAAGTGGCAGTAGGAAAGTTCAATATGGCATCAGTGTAAATAAAAAGGTGAGAAAACGAATAGAAATGCTTCAGAGAAACTAGGACTATAGCTATACTTATTTGTGGCAAGGGGAGGGGTTCTTTATAATTTGAACCAATTATCAGTAAAATGCTATCAAATAGCTAATTTTCTTAAAGGCTTGAACAAACTTCAGGAAAAAAAAATTAAAGCCTGAAATCCTTTTGCAATTATTTAATTATTAACACAACAATTTTTCAAGTCATTTCTCTAATGTTCTCCCAAGTAATCAGAAACAGGAAACAATAAGTGGTGTTTATATCAGTCTCTGAAGTTCTTTCATGACAATAAATGATAAATCTTCATGAAAGAGCTCCTAAAATGATCAACTCCAGTATTAACAGCAAGTAGTAACATCAACACCACAACTACAACAATTCTGTCATGCCTATCATAGATGGGACCACAGACACCTGACTATGGATGTGGATTGTCAGGTTTTGATCATTTTTCCACTATTGTAGCAACTGTCACCTACCATCATCAGCAAACTTGCAGATTTGACGATCACCAAGCACAATATCCAAATGCACAATCATCACCACCACCAACTCCATTTTGCTCTAACAATCTAACCACAATCCTCATTCAATGATATTTTCACAAAAATATTTTCAACCCCAAAAGGCTCTCAACTTACTATTCTTCCTCTATTTTTCTAGGCAAAAAGGAAAAGCAGAAAGCTGAATCCAAACCAAACAACAATTTTGAGGCCATACATTCTCTTTTACCTCTTCAACCTGAATCCTATAAGTCTATAACAGCCAGAATACTAATAAACAACTACATTCTAATATCCTCTTATTTGAATAACTATAAAACAGGGAGTCAAAGGCAAAGTTGCATGCTTGAAGGAAAAATGCCATGATGAAGAGGAAAACCAAAAAAATTTATCTAACAAAATTATACAACTTAGAGAAACATGACAAAAAGTCCGAATTACTAATTAGGCACTAACCATAAATTCAATGACTATATTAGTACAGCTAATCTATGCATATATTGATTTCCTCTTCTGTAATTAACGAGCTAGCCTTGAACCAGTGAAAATGGAGCATCTTCATAAGCTTTCTGGTAAGACTAGAATTGCTTACTTTTTGGGTATTTGAATTATCCCTGACTTGGCAACAGCAAAGCATCTAAAAGGATTATGCATCTGGGTTCTCACTAGTTTTGCTGAAAATCCAAAAATAAATCATTATACCATGAATTTAAAAACACATGCCAAAAGCAGAATAACAAAGGAAAAATAGAATTACTGATTATTTTTCCATAAGACATGAATCCCAGAAAAAAAACAACGAAAGAAGATTAAAAAAGCTAGCTTTCCTTCTAAATTAAAATTCTATACTGGAAATTACTGAACAATACCACGATAGAGCCCAAATTGAAAACATTCGTAGAACCCAAAATTTGAGTTCAAGAGAAAAGTGGTCTTAAACATACAGGGAAAGAGAGGTACCAGGAAAATGAGTGCAGGAATTTGAAAAGAGAAGGGCAGGGGCAGTACTACTGCAGCAGCGTGAGACGAAGGGAAGCTTGAAGATATGTACTGCCATGTTCGCCTTCTCTTTGAATCTGTTTTACTTGGGCAGTTCTATTTGGAATTAGAGGGTGTAAAGGGTAGCAGAGGGTAGGAGCGTCATTGTCGAACTGAATATCATCTTCCCCGTGCGGCTGTTTGCTTGGTGACGATAAAATGGCCCGTCGTTTCTGAGACAGAGCATAGAAAGAAGACGGTAAAAATGTTAAGCCCCTGAACTTAACCCTATTTCAAAATATAACCCCATCAACTAAGCCTAGAGGTGGTTTTGAATTTTTTATTTTAATTTTTAAAAATTTTAAAATTTTAGAATAAAAATAAGTAATTTTATAAATTAATTAGATTTAAAGTTTTAGATATTTATTTAAAATTTTATACTTAATAAGTTAATAATTTTAAGTTTTAATTTAAAATTTTAATTATTTAAATTTTAAAAATTAAAATTGAAAACTTCAAATCATAACTATACCAAAGAAAAAGTCTAATTTTTAAAAGCTCATATGAAGTGATTATTAATAGTGTCTTTGTCCCAAAGTGACGACTTTTTTTCTCAAATATTTTGGTGATAAGTGGAGAATTAAGAAAATTATAAAGTAAGAAAAAATAATTATTTTTCTTTAAAATTAAAAAAAAATGACAATTAATTTAAAATAATTTGAATAAAAATAATTATTATTTTGGGATTGAGAGAGAGTAATATTAAACTCTGCCTAAAGTATCGTGTGTAGTTATTATCACTAATAATATTATTAAAACTTTATTATATTTTTTTCAAAATATTAATTAATTTTAATTTATTAATTAATAAATATTAATTATTTTATTAATTTTAATTAATAATTATAAGTATTAATTATTTTTATTAATCAAATTAAATAAAATTAATATTTTTTAAAACAAAACACCTTACAATTTTAGTGATTATAACAATATTATTAATCGCCATATCTGTACCCTTTGTTCTGGTGCAGTGGGTGATGAACATGACACGTTGGTGATGCAAAATGCTATTGAAACACGGAGAAAAATAATAAATAAGAATGTCAAACTTTTCATCTTTTTACTTAAAAATGTTAATTTTATTAATTTTTAATTAAAAATATTAATTTTTTATTTTTTATTTGAAAATATCAACTTTCAATTTTTTTATTTAAATATATCAATTTTCAACATTTTGATTGAAAAATTTATTTGCCACATTAACATTACCATATAATTGATTCTTAAATAGAAAAAACTAAAAATTAATATTCTTAAATAGAAAAACTTAAAAGTTGATATTTTTAAATAAAAAATATTAAAATTAGCATTTTTAATTAAAAACTAGTAAAATTAACATTTTTAATTAAAAAAAATATAAAGTTGGTATCCTTGTTTATACATTTTCTCTTGAAACATGGATATGGTTAATGGTAATTTTCTTTATAAACAGTGATATAAGAATAATTTTTTATATAAATTTTTATATAATTTTATATGTTATTAAATAAATAAATATATTTAATATCATGAGTCGCAAATAAATAAAAAAATTAATTATTTAAATAACATATAAAATTATATCAAAAAATAATAAAAAAAATTATTTCTAAATTATTTTCCGTTCTACTATAAGTTAAATAAGAAATAAGAGTAGTTCAAAAAATAATAATAATAAGAGATTTTAAATTTGAAAGTATTTTTTAAAATGTTAAATTCAAATCATCTCTTTAAAATTTTAAATTTTTGAGAGAATAATTCACTTAAAAGTAAATTTTATGAAATGCTCGTCATCATCCAAAATTTGAATTGAAGATATTTAAATAAAAACATAAGTTTTTAATCATTAGGGGATCTCTTAATGAATTTTACAAGATTATTTATTTATTTTTATATATTAATATTACAATAAAACAGTAACTTAAGTAATAATTTTTTTTTAATTTTTTATATAAAACTTATTTGATAACTTTTTCCTTAATTTTTTTAAATATCATTTTTTTACTAAACACTAAAAATTTAACAATTTAACAAAATTTCAAAACACTAAAATTGAAGTTTACTAACTTTATTACAAAATTTATCATCTCGGTATACTACTCTTTTTATTTTTTTTATAAAAAAAATAAAAAAATAAGAATACCTGCAAAGATCAGATCATCTATCATATAATCCTCATGTAAATTCCAATGTAAAAATCACATAATAGATGACTTTGAACCTATCAAAACTATTAATCAGCTAAACTTTTCGCAACCTTATTTTTTATATACCACTTTCTCAACTATCAAAAACTTTTTCCGTAAAATTCGCCTGACCAAACAATAATCACTACATGCCTTGTAAAATCTATTTTATCCTATCTTTGAACGCTTTGTGTTAAAAAAAAAATAATAGCAGTTCAATACCA